TTCTGGTGGTGGCAGGTACTTACTTTTGGGAACAAGGCTGCCATTTCTGTCACTGCCACATGTATTCTCTCGGAGCACGGTATATAGCTGCAGAAAGATACCCTGGGTTATTCACTGTGTAGAGATTCCCTTCCCTCTTCCACTTCACTGCTCAGTGACTTATTCTAAAAACAACCACGTGACGTCAGAAAAAGCAAGAACTTAATCAACAGTGCAAAATTATGTCTTTAGATTTTCATTGTTTTTCAGAGTTGGTTTGAAGGAATAGCTGTCCATACTTTTTATATAAAACATTGTCAGGGAAGTCTTCATTTGTGTGCAACTTCAGAACACCAAGATGCCTTCTTGGATTAATTAAAATCCAGTAAACAGACAAGGCAAGTTCTCACACACATGCATCCCCAAACTACCAACTGCATTCACAGTCTGAATGCAGTTGAGTTCTAGGCTAAATATTCACTAATTCTGATGAGTTAGTTAAATAAAACAAAGGCAGATTCCATGAATCACAGATTTCACTTCTGATTTATATACCAAATGAAAAGTGGTCTGTGCAAAATAGAACTATTTACCATAAACTGCTGTGAATAGTGAAGTGTTAGTGTGCTCTCTCACAAGTCTCATTTCAAAGAACTCGCTTAATGCTTCAAAGATTCAATTTCAGCATAAGTTAGTTCACATGATCCAATCTTAAGCAAGAAAATCTCAAAACTCACAAAGCATTCAAGAAAACTATTCAGCATGTGTGGGTTATGGCAGGCCAGTGCCCTTTCAAGCAAAAAGAGCCTCCAAACCCACCCCCCACCTCAGTCATTATTTATTTCATCTTCTTGCAACACTAAAGCTGCAAAAAAATCAGTCACTTGCAAATGCACTGAGAGAAAAGCAACACACTGGGGTCATTTTGGCAATGCAGGAAAATTGCTTTGAAAGGAGTATTTTTCCATGTGCCTCAAGTCACATGATTTCTTCCAAATAAATTAAAAGTGGAGAGAGGTCTTCCAAGTTCACCACAATTCCCCTTTTGCTGTGGAATTAATGATTAATCTGCTCCCTGCAGCCACAGTGACCAGCATCCTACCTGGTTAAAAAGTCAATTTACTGATTAAACCCTTCACTAACAAG